GCTGCCGAGGGGGCGAGGGGAGGGTCCCCAGGTGGGTGAGACGGGGTGGGGTGGGGAGGGGTGACAGTGAGTGCTGGGGCAGTTGGAGCCTGGGGAAGGGGTGGGAGGGACTGGGCCAGGGAGGTGGGGGAGGTGTGTGAGGAAGTGAGGAGGGGGACACCCAGCTGGTCACTTTGGGAAACTGGCCCACACGGGGCGTGGGATGCCCTCTCTCTCCCAGTCTCAAGCTGGAATGTGAGAAGCTGGCCAGTGAGAAGACGGAAATGCAGAGACATTATGTCATGGTGAGGGGGTGATGGTGCCAGGGTTGGGGGACTGAGAAGGAGGGCTTGGTTGGGAGCGAAAAGGCTGCTCCGGGGCAAGTCCCTGCCCGTCTCTGAACCTCATCTTCCCCATCTGTTAGTGGGGTTGGCTGGGATTGCACGCTGTTGAGAACTGGGAGACGAGGCTTTGTCCTCTCCTCGTGGGCATCTCTGAGGGGCCAGGGTCTCTGGGCACCTCCTACCTGCCCCGCCAATCTGGGGAGAGCAGAGAGGCCCCCTCCAGGCAGAGTCTTGCTCTGGGCTCCTCTTCTCAGACCCCACAGGGCTGGGGGGGCTCTGTGTCCTGCTGCGATTCCCCCAGTCGGGGGCTCTTGGAAGACCAGAGCGTCACCCAGCAGAGCTGGACATCCGCTGGCACCCCAGACATGCCCAGTCTTCCCAATCGGTGTTTCCTTTGCAGTACTACGAGATGTCCTACGGGCTCAACATCGAAATGCACAAGCAGGTACCTGTGTTGTGCATAAGGGTGTTCATGGAGGTGGGAGGTCTGGAAGCTGTGGGTGGGACCCAGCATGCTCACTGTGGAACAGAACAGACCCAGGGACAGGGGTCTTGTCCTTAATTCTCTGTGGAGGTCCCAGAGGGCTGATCTGGGGACGGGGGGACAGATTGCAGCCTCATGAAAGGAAAACGATTCTGGACTTTTGGAGACATTGGCCAGCAGCTGCAGCCGTCCAGTAGAGAGGTGGGCAGTGGACGGGGGCCGGGTGTCCCCACGGAGGAGGGCTCATAGCAGAGGCTAGGCAGCCAGGTCAGGGAAGTCATGGAGGTGACTTCTGCCCTAGGAGGAGCTGGAGGGACAGTCTTAGAGGTCTCTTTCAGTCTTGAGAGTCTGAGGCTTCGTGATGGACCCTGAGACTCTGTTGCTATTTTGAATGTTCTGAGATTGACCCTCGTGGAATTGGCCAGAAGGTTCTGAGGTTGTTCTCAAGGCCCTGAATTTGATTCCCGGGTTCAGACTGACTCCACCACTCCAAGATAGACCTCAGGATTCTGTGGCTGTTCTAAAGGTTCTGAGACTGCCCAATGCTGTGAGGTTCTGAGGTTGACCTGAAGATTTTGTGACTGTCCTGAAGGCTCTCAGATTGACCCCAGTGGTATGATGTGAGACACAAAGTTCTGAGATTTCCCAAGCTTCTGAAATAGACCTCAGACTTGAGATAGACCTTGGCCCTTATGTGCTGAGATGCATCACAATGTTCTGAGACTGTCCCCAAGCTTCTGGGTGTGGTCTCAAGGTTCTGAAATAGATCTCAAGGTTCCAAGATTGACCTCTAGGTGCTGAGATGCCTCAGAAGGTTCTGAGGCTTCCCCTAAGCTCCTGAGTGTGGTTTCGAGGTTCTGAGATAGACCCAAAGGTCCTGAAATTGACTCCAGTGGTCCAAGATTAACCCCGAGGTCCTGAGACTGACCGATGATTTCTAAAGGGTTGGGAGAGGTCTCGAGGTTCTGAGGTTGATGGACGCTTAGATTCTGTCCAACAGAATATTAGAATCAATGGGCGGAGCCTCTCAGGGCATCTAGGTGGGTGGTAAGAAGACGGGGGTAGGCTGGGAGTGACGGGTACCTGGAGGTGCCCGCTCTGGCATGCTTTCCTGGGCTCTGCTGATTCTTACACGACTGCCTGGAGAGTGGCGTGGTCCCATGGGTGCATGCAGTAGATCCCTTTATGGGGTCGAGGACCTGGGGTAGTGCCCAGGCCCTGGGAGCCTGGTTTTGCCCTCCCGGTGGGGCGTGACCTACCACGGCTCCCTTCCCCATCCACACAGCTTCTCCTCTACTCAGCCTCTTTGGGGCACCCCGGGAAGCAGATCAGCCCAGATGGCAGACAACACCCAGAGAGAGGCTGTGTCCACACGCAGCCAGGGCTAGAACCTGGGACTCCTATTCGG